AAAAAAAGTAATAATTATTAACTGATGATTAAAAAAGAAAATTTAAAAAGTTTTAATAAATATTTTGTAAAAGGATTATATTAACTAATTTTTTATTCAATTAACTTATTTTTTTCTTTTTTAATTATTTATATTTTCTCATCTTTTTTATTATCATTTAAAAGTACCATTAAATAACAAAAAGGAAATAAGACAATAATAAACTTATTTAAAACAAAAATGATAAAATAAAATGTAAAGACCATACTTTTAAGTTTTCAAAACTCTAACCCCCTAACTGACCTCCACTGATACCCAGATAACAACGGACGACTACTTTTCGAAAAGAGAAAAAAGGCTCCTCCGCATGTGGACCAACCCTCCAGCACTAGGCGAGACTCATCAGACGGCAACCTATTGAAATAATTTTACAATCTTTATATTTAGTGATCGATGGCCTATGATTTCAGCACGTGGCGCCCATAAAAATAGCTCTACGGTTTAGGCTTGGTTATTATAAGTGTCAAATATATAATATATTAAGTATATCGATTTTTCTTTTTTACGTAATACTAACCCTTCCTTCAAAGATTCCCTTGTTAGAAAAAAAAAAAGAAAAAAGAAAAATGAAAAATGAAAATGAAACTGACTCCAGTACGTGGTGTGGGACTTACAAGACAACAACCCATAGAAATGGCTCCGCAATTTAGGGGTGGTTATTATTTAACTTCAGTTCAAAAAAAAATTTAGGGGTGGTTATTGTAAAGCGTCGAATATACAGTATATTAAGTATACTGATATTTAAAGTTTTTTTAAGTAATACTAACTCCTTCCAAGATTCCCTTGTTGAAAAAAGAAAAACTGACTCCAGCACGTCGTGGGACTTACAAGATAACATCCCATAAAAATGGCTCCACAATTTAGGGGTGATTATTGTAGGTAAAAGGTACCCGTTTGCCTTTTAACTTTTTAAATTTGAGGTGTTTTACCCTTCATATTACAATATATAAATTTTTACTATTTTTATTTTCAAGTTTAAGAAAATAAAGTAAAATTTAACGTTAAAAGGTCATGTGCAACCCGTGCATCATTACCTCCGTTATACATTTACATGTCAGCGCCATATCATCAACAATTTTAACTCGTGGATCCTATTTGTCGACTTACAATAATAACATGGAAAAAAAATATGACAAAAAAATAAAAAATTCTTTCCTTTTTTTTTTCCTTCCCTTTCCCTTTCTCCCTTTGGAACCCAATAGCATCGAACCCAGCAAGCCTTGGAACCCAAGCACGGGTTCTTTAGAACCCAAGTGCTGGGCTTGATGGAACCCAGGCGTGGGTTCCAACACACTTACGTTCCCTAGGTTCTTTGATGGAACCTAAGCGTGGGTTCCGTCGAACCCAGCACGCCTGGATTCGATGGAACCCAGGAGCGGGTTCTTCTGTCTCTCTCTTCTGAGCAACTTTTTCCAATTCTTCAGCTTCCATTCGTATCAAATTTTGTTTGCTTTTGTTTTCTTTTTTTTTTTTCCCAAAGAGTGTAAGATCCTTTCTAAGTTCTTCCATTTTTTTCTATTTCTATTTTTTTTTTCTGAACAATTAGATTGATTTTGGTTTGTTGTTTTTGGCTGCAGAATCTAAGACAAGAAGCTGTAAGGATTCAGGACCCTTTTTGGATAAAAATATTCGTTTGGAACTGATTGTATTCCAATCAGTAAGGAACCTTCCCCCTTTTATTTTTTGTTTTTCTGTTATGATCCTTCAAATGTAATGGTGCTTTCATATTTTTATGTTGAATTTAAATTTGTTCATTGTTTTTGATGGTTCGCTGATCTTGTTATTTGCTTCTTTTTTTCGTTTCGTTTAAATGAATGCTGCTGTGATTTAGTGCAGAGAAGACAGTGAAAATTGTTAGATTGAGTTTAGGTATCATTGACGATTAAAGGTCTTCAATTTGGAGGTTGGAGATGTCTACCCAACAAGACAATCCTGATTCCAGCAATTTTTCAGGTGGTATGGCATGAATTTCTTATATATGCTAGATAAGAAAACTAAAATTTTTAGTGCTATGGTTGTTAATCTAATATTTTTTTTTGTGGGTTTTGTTATTTGATAATAATGAAAAACCCAGCAAGGGTAGAGGTTAGTTGAGATATTAGGGTTTGCAGAGGTTGAAGAAAG